TAGGAAAAACACGAGATTTGAAGTCATATGTAATATGGGCGTCAGTCCTGTTTCTGCCACTTATTACCTGTGTGGCCTTGGGCAAGATATTTCACTTTTATGAGGCCCCATTTATTCATCTGTAAGATAAGGAAGTTGAATGAGATATTCTTTAAGGCCCCTTACAACTCCTAATTTATGACTTAAGACCTATACAGCATTTTTCTTTTGATTGCATTTGTTGTAATGAGATTTGATCTATTTGTCCAGCCATGAAAGTAACTGGCTCCCTCATTGCCACACACTCCTAAAAATGGTAAATGAGTAAATACTTGATTGTGCAACTATGAGATAGCATGCTTAAGTGAGCTGGAACACCCTGACTTACTGGAGAAGGTCCAATTGCATGTAAACTAGGGAAGTGACTTTTAAGAATTGTCTTGGAGCCTACCAGAAACTACAGATGTCCCTCTCAGTAAAGCCCTCTTCACATAAGCATTCACCCCAAGGGCTTTTATGCTATGTAATGTACCCAAGTCTATAGGCACCCATCCCAAGGGCCATCTCAGTCCTCAGATATTCTATTGATTTATGTATTACGTCCCATCCCTACATTTTGAAAAGAAAATATATTACCCTCCCCATTGCTCCTCTCAATAGAGTATCCCAAGATAGGTTACAATTAGGTAAAAATATTGTTATTAATAATTATTAATAATAGTAATCAGGGGTATTGTCAATAGCATTTATTAGTTCCATTACTATTAATGTTAATTATAGCAATATTTCACCTAACTTATTTATAATAATTTGCCATTATTGGGAATAGTAATAGCTACCATTTATATAGCACTTTAAGGTTAACTTATTTGATCCTCACAACCACCCTGGGACATAGGTACTATTATTACCACCACTTTACTGATGAGGAAACTGAGGCACAGAGAGCTTAAGTGACTTTCTCAGAGCCACCCAGCTAGCGAGTGTCTGAGGCAGGATTCAAGCTAAGGTCTTCCTGATTCAGTCCTCCATTCTCTTCACTGGGTCACCTTTGCCTGCTGTGAGCAATTCACTACGCCTCTCACCTTAGAAAACAGAAAGTTTAGCCAAAACATGATCCCTTCCCTCATGTCTCATGTAGTCACAGAAGAGAGCTATGACACATCTAAGAATAAGTATAATAAATATATAATGATTATATATTAAATATATAAATGTATAATATTATTATATAAATATATAATATAATATATAAGTATAATTACAAGATAATATATAAGGAGTCTCAGAAACATGGTGGAGTTATGACACAAAGGATAATCTTTAATCTCAACATATATTTCTAGAACAGTGAAAGAAGTACCCAAAGAAGCAAAACTACCAGAGATCCTCAAAAATAAAAATTTTAAATCATTCAAAGAAATGAGCAAATCAAAAAACCTTAAGATAATGGAGGCGAAAACAAAACAAAAACCACAAGCCATCCCCATTCAATACGGAACGATCACCAGAACCAGAAAAGGAAACCTAGAACCCAGCTTAGTCAGCCACCACTTAATCTCATTGCCAGGTGCCCAGACATGGAAGTCAAGAAAACACTGGCTTAGAAAAGGAATTAATCTGTTATGGGAAAAGATGGTAAATTGGGCGTAGTCATACTTTGTGAAAGGGGAAGAGGAAATGGAGAACAATTTGCATGAAGCTTGGTATGAGAACTAATTAAAATAGCCCATTCCAAGACCATTTCGAAATGAATATGGAAAGAACACAACAGATTTTTTTAAAAAAAACAAATAGATAAACTTAACCCAAAAATAATGTCAGCATTTCTGTAACAGACTTTTTTTTTCTCATGTTGATGAAACATATTTTATATTTTGGCTGTGTCATAAACCCCTGATGTGCTTCATGAGGGTGTGGAACTAGTACTGAGGAAAACAAAAACATCAGAGGTTGATGTTTGAGGTGTATTTTGAGGGCATCGAGGGACCTGAAAGAGCTTGGCAGGCTATTAGAATAGTCTAGCCCAGGAGATTTTAACCTAGGCACTCTGAACTTGGTCTTTTTAAAAATATTTTGTCGGGGCAGCTATGTGGTGCAGTGGATAGAGCACCGGCCCTGGATTCAGAAGGACCTCAGTTCAAATCCGGACTCAGACACATAATACTTAGTAGCTGTGTGACCCTGGGCAAGTCACTTAACCCCACTGCCTAGCCAAAATAAAAAAAAAATAAAAATAAATATTTTGTCTACTGTATTTTAATATGAATTTGATTTCCTTTGTCATTCTATTTATTTTATTTTATGTATTTGAAAGCATTATTCTAAGAAGGGTCCATCCATTGGCTTCATCAGACTTCCAAAGGATTCCATGACACTAAGAAAGGTCAAGAACCTCTGGACTGACCTGAGAACTTTCGCTAGGTGGCTGAAAGAGGAATAGAAGGAACTTCCCTTTGACTAGATGTCTGCGACTTTGGGCCACTAGTTGTTCCTAGTGTTTTGTAGTGGGAAAGGAACTGAACTTTACATTAGGAAACTGGATTCAACCACTACTAGGTCTGTATACCAAGGAGATAAAAAACAAAAAGGAAAAGGACCTATATGATACAAAAATATTCATAACAGCTCTTTTAGCGATGGCAAAGAAGTGGAAATTGAGGGGATGTCCGTCACTTGGAGAATGGCTGAACAAGTTGTTGTAGTGATTGTGACAGAATACTATTGTCTATAAGAAACGATGAGCAGGATGCTCTTAGAGAAACCTGGAAAGACATGAACTGATGCAAAGTGAAATGAGCAGAACCAAGAGAATGTTGTATACAGTGGCAGTATTGTAGTGTTCACAATCTGCTGTGAATGACTTGGCCATTCTCAGCAATACAGTAATCCAAGACAATTCTGAAGGACTTAAGATGAAAAATGCTGTCTGTCTCAAGAGAACTGATGGAGTCTGAATGCAAATCAAAGCACACTTTTTATTTACTTTTTAAATTTTTCTTGGGTTTTTTTTTCCACAATATGACTAAAGTAGAAATATGTTTTGCATGACTGCACATGTGTAACCTATATCAATTTGCATGCCTTCTCAATGAGGGAGGGAGAGAGAGAATTTGAAATTCAAAAAATGTTTAGAACAAATATTAAAAATTGCTTTTATGTGTAATTGGGAAAAAATAAAATATTAAATTTTCTTTTTTAAAAAGGAAACTGGATTCAAGTTCTGGCTCAGACTCCTCATAGTTTTATATCCACAGGAAAGTCACATAATCTCTCTGAAGTTTGGTTTATACAATGAGGATAATATTTGCACAACTGTATATACTTTTTTTGCAGAAAATGTACAAGAGTTAATATTTCCCTCTAAATTTAATATGCATAATAACCCCTAAGAACCCAAAACATGAAAAAGAACAAAATCTTAAATGTAAGTGGCACTTTTTAATTTGCTTACAATTTAATCCCCCTCGTCATTCTGCTAGCTCTCTCCCTCCCTCCAACATAAGAAGTGTCACTTAAAGGATTCTGTTGTTCATTCCAGAAATTACCGAAGGAAGGTCGGCATCAGCCATGGAGTTGATTACCCTGTAACCTTGAGTGTCAGTGTTCCTTGGGAAAGAAAGATGAGAATGTTAATGAAGATTTAGTTAGTTGACCTGGACCTGGATACTTAAGAGACCAATGTCATTATTAGCCCTCTCCAATCCTGCCCTAGTTTTATAGTGATAATATGGTGGGGGGGGATGGACTGAATTACATGCATAAATGTGATTTATTCTGTAAGGTTTGAATGAGACAACAAGGTATACCCTTCCATATAGCTGTGAACAAATGACAGTAACAAAGAACTCCGCACCGCACCGTGACTCATCATACTAAAAGTAACGTTGTTTTTGCTAATCCACTGCCTAAGAGGAAAAAAAAAACAGCTAAGTAGAATCAGCCATCTCAGTGAACATATTGGCTGTCATAGGCAGCCATCTGCGCCAGCTCTCCCAAAAAAAGGGAAGCGTGTTTTATGTTGATGTTACTATAGTCATGTATATTGTTTTCTTGATTCTGCTTGCCTTTCCCTTCATTACCTCATAAAATTTTTTCCATGTTTTCTGAATTCTTCATATGCATCATTTCTTATGGAATAACGGCATTCCATTACATTCCTATGCCACGATTTGTTCAGCCATTCCCTAATCATTGGTCACCCACTTTGTTTTCAATTTTTTTTCCCCCACAAAGAACAAAATGTTGCTTGGATACTTTTGTACGCAAAGGACTCTCTCTCCAATGTTTTCTATCATTTGGACTCGGTGGTGAGACTGAATATACACATCCAGTGACCTTTCTGGCATAGTTCCAAATTGTTCTCCAGAATGGTTGGACACATTCACATCTCTGCCCCCAGGTTAATAGTCACCTTCCTTCTCATAACCTCTCCAATATTGTGTACTTCTTTCATTGTGTTTGTCAGTTTGTTGAGTGTCATGAAATGTCATAGTTATTGTAATGTGTGTTTCTCTTATTAGTGATCTAATAATAATAACTAATAGCTAACATTTATGTAGCTCTTACTATGTGCCAACCGCTGTGCTAAGTGCTTTAAAATTATTATCTCATTTGATCCTCACAACCCTTGGAGGGAACTGAGGCAAGTGAGGCAAATTTACAAATGAGGAACTGTGATTTCCCAAGGGTCACACAACTAGTATCTGAACTCAGGTTTTCCTGACTCCAGATCTGGTACTCTATCCACTCTGCCACCTAAGGATCAGGAGTATTTTTTCATGTCTGTTGATTGTTCATAATTCTATTGAAAACTTCATATCCTTTAACCATTTCTGCTTTTAGGGTCATGGTCTTTCGTTATCAGGATTTTTTTTTTTAACAGCTTGATTTAATGGGCATATGTTACCTGTTGTTTTTAATGCTTGGAGAAGGTGGAGATAGTTGGGGATCGTGGGTTAGTTGACTATAAGTTGTAATTTCAGGTCTCTACATTTGTTTTATTTTCATTTCCTACACAGAAATTGACATCGAACGCTGTGTCCGTGAATCAATCAATTTGTTTTGCTGGACCCCCAAAAGTGCTACTTATAGACAACACGCACAGCCTCCCAAACAATCTTCTGACAACAATGGGGTGAGGAATTCCACGCCTTATTTCTCAATTGACTCTCAGGACGCTCCCAAGACGGACCTGGTACGTCTCTGCATCTTAATTTATCTAATCACACATACAATTTGTTAACTTCATCATTTGTACACTTTGTAATGTAAATATATTTTGCAAACCACTTAGAGTCATTTGTTTATATGATGAGGTCAATGTCCAGTGTATTTTCTGGCTATTTCAGCTGGGCCTTTTTTTCCATTTAGAGCTGGAATGGCCCTCTGAGGTTTAGTCCAACAGTCTCATTTTACAGTTGAGGAAACTGAGGCCCAGACTGGTAAAGTGACTTGCTCAGGGTCACATTTAGTAAGTAGCAGAACAAGATTTTGAACTCAGGTTTGATTCCAAAACCAGCACTTTTGGTAAATTCACTTTATGTTAGTTTACTTGTGAAATAGTTTTAGAAGAGTGAATGGCCCCAAGGAGGATTAGGGAATATATGTAAACTGAAAATCTATGCTTCTTTATTGTTAGTTGACAAGCGAGTTAAAGTTTTAGAAAACAATGAAAGTCAAGATTTTCAATTTTTATGTTTATTTTCATTAAAAAGAAATACATTTTTCTATATAATAACTCTTTCAAGACTACCAGTTATAATTCTCTATATCTTTTAAAATGTCTTAAGCTGGATCAGCTAGGTGGCGCAGTGGATAGAGCTCTGGCCTTGGAGTCAGGAGGACCTGAGTTCAAATCCCACCCACATAACACTCACTAGCTGTGTGACCCTGGGCAAGTCACTTAACCCCAATTTTGCTCACCAAAAAAAAAAAATGTCTTAAGCTGCTAGACATATCTTAAAAAATTGTTTTCTACAAAATTGTCTTACAATTTGTCCGCATAAAAGGATGCATATCTTGTCAAACTTAGTAAGGTGGATGGAGTTACTTTAACTTAAAAAAGTAAACATACAGAAGGATTTTAAAAAACTATATTGATGCATTCTCATTCTCCTTTAATGGATGTTGAAGACATTTCTGATTTTATATATATATATATGTACATGTACATGTACATGCACACACATATAAATTCATTTTTCAACCTCTACCTCTTTCCTGGGTTCCTTCACTTCTTTACATACATATAAATAGTGAATTACATCTATGATTATATTTATCCTATATGCCTCTCCATCAACAACAAATTTTATTCATTAGGGCCACATAAACATAACCCTGATTTTGTTTAACAGGCATAATACCTTTTCTTTTTTTCTTTTTTTTTTTCTTAATGGTATTTTCCCAATTATATGTAAAGATCATTTTTCAACATTTATTTTTATAAAATTTGAGTTTCAAATTTTTCTCCCTCCCCAAGCCAGCAAACAATCTGATGTAGGTTATACATGGACAATCATGTTAAACATATTTCCACATTAGTCATGTTGTGAAAGAAGAATCAGAACAAAAGGAAAAAACCATGAGAAAGAAAAACAAAAAACAAAAAAAAGTGAAAATAGTATGCTTCTATCTGCATTCAGACTCCACAGTTCTTTCTCTGGATGTGGATAGCATTTGCCATTGTAAGTCTTTTGGAATTGTCTGGGATCATTGTATTGCTGAGAAGAACTAAGTCTATCGTAGCTAATTATTGCACAGTGTTGCTGTATGACGATGTTATCCTATCCTGCTCACTTCACTCAGCATCAGACCATACAAGTCTTTCCAAGTTTTTCTGAAGTCCACCTGCTCATCATTTCTTGTAGCACAATAGTATTGCACTACATTCATATACCACAAACTGTTCAGCCATTCCCCAATTGATGGTGTTCCCTCAATTTCCAATTCTTTGCCACCACATAAAGAGCTGCTATAAACATTCTTGTACGTGTGGGTCCTTTTCCCTTTTTTGTGATCTCTTTGGGATACAGATCTAGTAGTGGCACTGCTAGATCACAGTGTATGTGTGATTTTATAGCCCTTTGGGCATAGTTCCAAGTTGCTCTGTAGAATGGCTGGATCAGTTCACAACTCCACCAGTAATGCATTACTGTTCCAATTTTCCCACATCTTCTCCAACATTTATCATTTTCCTTTTCTGTCATATTAGCCAATCTGATACATGTCAGATGGTACCTCAGAGTTGTTTTAATTTGCATTTCTCTGATCAATAATGCATAATCCTTTTTCTTAGAACAGGTTCTTAACCTGGGATCCACAGACCCCAAAAGGGGATATATGGATAGATTTCAGGAGCTCTATGAACTTTAATGGAGGGGGCGGAGGGGGGGGAACATCTTTATTTTCATTAACTTTTCCTTTCCTTGGTAATCATATATATTTTATTTTATTCATTTAAAAGCATTATTGTGATAAGGGGTTCATAGGCATCATCAGGTTGCCAAAGGGGTCCTTGACAGATACAGATGGTTACAAATTCCTAAAAGCCTGGATCCTAAAGTGAATAATATTCTTCTAAACATATTTGTGAAAACATGTACTAATATAGGACACTAAAGGCTAGTAATGCTAAATCAAAATATAGACTACTAGGGGCAGCTAGGTGGCGCAGTGGATAGAGCACCAACCCTGAAGTCAGTAAGACCTGAATTCAAATCCGCCCTCAGACCAAACACTTGACACATACTAGTTGTGTGACCTTGGGCAAGTCACTTAACCCCGATTGCCTCACTGAAAAATAAAATAAAATAAAATAAAAAACATCGACTACTAAATAAATATTTATAAATATATTTGCAATGAAAATGTTTGTTTGGAAAGTTTGAATTGCTTTCTGCAAATGGGTTAATGTTAGGAAGTTAACACCTCTCTTGTACTAAGGGAAATAATTGCTTAAGCAAAGGGGTAGTCGTTTGGGAGAAGTTGTTTGACAGAATGAAGAACATGAGTTGTACTTGATATCTTAGAATGCAGGAATGATGGAAATCTGTGAAAGCTTGGAAAAGCTAATTTATTAAACTTTAGAAAAGCTCCATCATACAGTCAAACATAGTATATTCTTATTTCAGATCCTATGATAAACAGAAAGTGGCCATGGGATATAACAAGATTACCATATTGATAACATCTCATATTTATATGGTACTTTGCAATCTACAAATCTCTTTCCTCACAAACCCTATAAGGAAGGCACTGTAATTGTTGTTATCCTCATTTTGTAGATGAGAAAACTGAGGCTTTGAGAGGTTAAGTGATACAGTCGCTTGATTCTGTAGTAGGTAGAGTAGAACTGATTTCCATATACTCTCTCAGAAAAAAATTCAGCTTGCTTTTAAAAGTGGTTTACAATTACAGCTATCACACTGACATCCCGAGTTATGGATGTTTTATAGTTTAATATTTTAAAATTGCAAAGGTCTTTGTGAGAATAAATGATTTCTAAAGACTGCTTCCCACTCTAAGTCTACAATCCTATGAAGACCCTGTATTTCCAAATCATTTATAATTGTAATCATATGGGTCATAGAAATAGGTCCGTTGTTATTCTTGGGTTCCTCCCCAGGATTGTGAGGTTTTGCTGCTGTTGTTTTTTCTGTTGTTGAGGCTCCAGTGTCAGTGATAGAGGGGTATCCATTCCAGAAAAGAGGGCCTCCCAACTTCTATTGCTTTCTAATCTGTTGGCTTCTGATCATAGAATCAGAATCTTTCGGCTGGAAGGGCCTTTAGAGGCCATCTAGTGTCATCCCCCCCATCCCCCACCCCAACCCAATACATCATTTAGACTTGGATTTCAAATGACCTTTACTTTTTTGTTTTAGTGCTATTTTGATCCCAAAATTCTTAAAGAATGTGCCAGTAGAATTATTTCATCTGGTGCCAAGGCATCCCTCATCTACTTTTTGCCTTAAACAGTGCAGTGCTTTGCACATAGTAGACATTCAGAGCTTATACAAGGGATTTGTATGCCTTAGGCAACTGAAAATCATGTCCCCTTTGTTTGACTCTCTTTTGCAGACTTTGAGCCTGTATTTATGACGTGTGCCATAACTTTTAACAAAATTAATAGCTATATTCTTTGAGTGAAATTTTCTGTCATTAAAATATATTCAATTTATAAAAGTAATATTGAGAGGTACCCTCTCTCCATCGCACCGAGTGGCCGCTTACCTTGCCTGTACAACCTAGTTCCTGCACTGGGCTCAGTGTGGTTTATTGAGTTGAACTGGCCAACCAGAGTCTGAAGATTGGGAGTACAATTTACCCATTGAGGAAAAATGCAAGAAGAAGAATATAATGTTCATGTATGAAACAAAAGGCTCTATTATCTATGAAAAAAGGCACATTGGATGGACCCACTGTGATGAGTTTATGGGAGGACACAGACAAGAGTCCCCCACCACAAGGGAAGGCATGTGGAATCACAGCTAGCGTTAATAAAGGGAATACCCACATTGATGAGATCACAGATATATTAGAGTTTGAGAGTTCAACTTTATTTCCCACCTATAAATGTCTGACTCCAGGCAGTACATGCATGTGTGGGTGTGTGTGTATAAAATTATCCCTCAGTGGTATACAAACATGTGAAGCACACTGTCCTAGGCACTTTAGGAATACGTAAGTCCTTAATGATATTCAATAATTCAGCTGGAAAATATGCTCTGAGTATGCTATTCTTAAGGTAAATGAAAAACACTTTATATTTCTGGGCTAGTTAAGCATTTATTAGGGATAATTTTGCATTCATATTAGATTTAGTCAGAAAAGTGGATAGAGTACTAGACCTGAAGTCAGGAAGACCTGAGTTCAAATTTGAGCCTTAATACTTGCTAGCTATGTGACCCTGGATAAGTCAGTTAACCTCTGCTTGCCTGTTTCCTCAGCTGTAAAGTGGGGATCATAATAGCAACTACTTCCTAGGTGCTATTGTAATAATTGTAAAGTAATTAGCCCTGGCACATAATAGGCACCTAATAAATGCTTCTTCCCTTCTGTTCCTCTACTATTTTGTGTGACCTTGGACAAGTGATTTCACCTCTTAGGCCTTCTGTAGTAGGATAAAAATCTTCCAGCATTCCTCCCTCTCCCTATAAGAGGGATTAATTTTCCCTAAAAGGCAATAGAGCTGTC